ACGGAAGGTCGTGAACTTACCTTTCTGGTCCAATTGACAGGACATGCCGCTCTCTTTCATCTTTCTCTTTCCATTTCCTTTCATTTATTTGGAATGAAGGATTAGGAATCTTTGTCAAATAACAAATCAACCAGGGTTGATTAATCCGGGGTTAACATTGGTCGTTCCTGTGGTTTGTGAGCATGGCTGGGAACCTCCACCTCAGTGCTGGCACCTGGCTCCACACTTCTGTGGCCAAAGGTTGAGTGATCTTCTCAGAGACAGATGGCAATGAAACAAGCGAACAAACAACAAACAAACAACAACCGGCCAGCCAGCCAACCAAACAAACAAAAAAGGAACAAAAAGAGCAAGCACATATGCAAAACAGCAAACGACAACCTAACAAAAGCGAACCACCTCCTCTTCCCCAGGCAAACCGAACGAGTCGCGCGCCTCATTGGCTTCCAGGAGATCTGCTGGTCCAAGCCCTTGAGGCTTACAAGGCCTGCCAGCACCTCAAGAGGACCATGCGCCTACCCACCAATTCCCTTGGCTGAAAGGGGGCCTGGTTTGGACCATTTTCCTTTTAAAGGGACCGGGCCCCTGCCAGGTTCCCTGTTAATTGGTGGAAGGGGACAGCCTCTGCCGTTCTTTGGAGGCAACGTGGGATCCGCCATGTTTCTTTCAGGTGCGCGCACGCCTGTGCCCGCCCTCCCTTTTGGAGCATACTTACCCATTTTCAGAGGTCACATCAGGCCATTCTCCATGGAGCACGTTGCTCCACATAAGAGGAGAGAAGCAGAGAGCAGCTTTAAAGATTGGTTATGCACTGAAAATGCCGGGCAGCTTTTTTGGTAATATGTCATGTAGAAGCCACAACTTGCTCAAGAAAGGTTGCTAGCGGACATGATACTCAAACATATTTCTTTGTGAGGAACCTCAGTAAGGGATCTCTGGCAAAGCTCCCATTCTTGGCCGATTTCTCGAGCCCAGGAGCGAAGCTGATAGAACATACAGTCCGGCATGATGGCAAGCACCTCTCCAGCAGCACCTCAGGGTGAAGATGTGAAAAGCAGACGGGAACCCGGGCAAACAAAACCTTGCAGTTGGAGTTGAGTCGAAACTGAGTTCCTCCCAGGAGGGATGCCACAATATCAAACAAGCTTCCGTGAGCCCTGCTGTAATTTGGCATCTGCGCTCATCATTTGGCTCTGTTGTGCAGAGTACTGCAGGCCGCGATGGTGAGTGATTGTGCATTGCCTCAACCCCCTAACTCTGCGTAGTCTGTAGTCCAACCAGCGGCGGTGAGTCTGGCTTGCTGCCTGTGAGTGATAAACAATGCGCAACACCATGTGCAGAGAAACTTGCCTTTAGGGTATGTAAACATGTCAGTACCTTCGACGACAAGGCAAATTTAACGGCAATCATCGTGATTGCGCATCCAAACCGCCCGATAATTCTCTCGTTCTACTCATGGCACTGCATGAACCCTGACTTATTTGCTGCGATGTCGGCACTCCGCTGCCAACCCATCCATGGCGCTCTATTCACGGTGCTGCAATGCAGTCCGTGATAACCCTGCACGCTTGACGCTTGACAAAGGTTGCTCGGAGAAATCATGCGACAGCTCAAGTTCACGCAACAGTGCCAACCCGGAAGTGCCTGAAGGCAGCCAGTGAGCAGAAGGCCCATCACCATCACGATGGCCTTGTTGAGGCTTCCGCATCTCTTGGTCACCACACCCACCTGGACGAGGCGCACAGGTGCTCAAACAGAATCCTGTGCTCCCACGGGGCCACTACCGACCATGCTCCAGTGAGAATTCCAGAAGCCTGCTGCATGGAGGGTGCCTTCCATGAAGTTGAAACCACAATGGTTGAATCGGGTGATGCGGCCTCTGGGATTATTCAGTTTATACAGACTCTTGAGAGCTGGGGAAAACTAGCGAAGCTGACATTGAATGCTCAAGAGTGTGCATTTTTAGGGATGCACACCTCATGACTAAAGCGCTTGAGAGAGCAAAAGGGGAGGAAAGAGAGGGTAGACAAAGCGGAGAGAAAGCGATAAAAGAAGCAAAGCAAACATGTGGGGAGACCGCACTGTGAAAAGCGGGAAGAGCGTGGAAAAGTCAAGCGGCATGGAGAAAAAGGAAAGAAAGCCAAGCGCAGAAGCAAATCGGGGGAGCCCCAACACACCGGAGCACAAAACGCCCATCAGCTCTTTCCGCCAGAATCCATTCCTTGGGGCCAGCTCAGCGCCCCATGGACCGAACCTTTGCCCATTCGACCCGCCGAGGCGCCAGCACTCCGCCGAAGCCTTGAGCAGCCAATGCTGGCCAGGCAGCCCAGACGGACAGCAAGCTGCCGCCAGGGGCAAAGGTGGCCGGGTTGTGCAGAGCTGTGGCCAGAAGCCCGAAAATGGAGAGCTCCATGGTGTAGAAAATCCTCAAGTGAAGCAACTCATCTTTCAGGCGTGGAATACCAACTCAAGGTGCTCAAGGGATTCCTGAGCCCACAGCACACCAGCAGTTGGCTTCATGTATCAATGTGATGTTTGAGCGCTTGTCACTTAAGGCCGAGAAGGCAGCGCTTGGCCAAACCATTGCCGTAGGCTAGTTGCCAAGCAAACGTGTCAAATATCTTTCCCGCATCCGACTGCCATCCCCAAAAGTGCAGTGGCCTAAAGATCCATAGGCCGTTCTCTTTTTTTTCTGTCTGCTCTTGCAAGTCTCAAATTCTTTGCCAGGAAGCGAGTCCCTTCCGTTCGAGAGCACCTTCTCAGACATCACCGCCATAAGCGCAGAGGACATTGCGGAGAACAAAGCCGCCATGACGCCCATGACGAACATCTCAGGGGTGAATTTCCTCTCTAGCCCGAAAGCCGAAGCACAGCGAAATCAGAACCGTTGGCAACAAACGACTGGTGCAGCTTGAAAACTTTCCGCACGCAAGAAAGCGAGGGGAATCTATGAAATTGAGAACATGCGCGCACCAGCAATTTTGAGAGTTGCGAGTTGCAAGCGAGTCAGGTGTTGTTGCCAACCCATAATCCACTGGTTCCTGATTACGCTAGCGACCTTGCAGCCACTGCCAAGACCTGTCAAACTAGAGATGCGTCTGCTATAATCACGTTATATAGATGCATTTGCCATTTCATTCTTCTCTGCATGCGTGCCTAGTTTTGGTGTGGCCCTCGCCTTCTGTTGGTCATGGCCGCCTCCTTCTCGCATCTCTCGAGGGGCGACCAGCGAGGCGGCCAGGATCGCGCTAATGCCAACCTCACGCGGGATCCAGCCAAAGGTATGCCACAATTAGTCTACCTGTCCTCGAGTGTCGCTAAGATCCATCATATTTATACCATGCAAGTATGCCACACTATGCTGCAGGATGTGTGACAGTTGCACCACCAACATGTTGCATACGCCCCAACTCACCACTTAACTCTTCGAATGGAAGGCATCAACTCAAGTAGTGTCGCACACAAGGGACGCTTAGCAACTTGGATGAAAAGATTTGCCCACGGCTTGCGCTGGGAGTTGCAGTGCTGAGGATTTGCTGTCTGAGTCTTCCTGAGCACTGCTGACAAAGACGGGCTCATGTGTGCCGCTTTGGTGCACATCTGTCCAAGCCCTCTGGCGTGGAAAGGGCGATGTTGTCGCAAGGTGACTGTTCTCCTGGCATCTTGTTGAAAGGACCCCTCCTGTGCACAGGCATGCATACCCAAAACAGAAGACACGTACCAGGCACTGCCAGCTAGCAGTTCTGCGGAATTGCGAGAGGTGCTTCGAGATGCATGCGCAGTTCCGACGTGTTCCAGCCAAAATCTCAGCCAAGCTGCCCACTTCCGCGGTGTGAAGGACTCTCGGCCAGTAAGAGCCAGCAAAAGGGCCGTAAAGAGAAGCTTCGTCTGACAGAAGACGTTGAACGTTACCTGAGACTTGGACGTCGGCAGTTCGCGCCAACATGTTGTCTCGCGGAACAGGACGCCAGTTCCACGATCCTGGGTTAAAGCAAGCATCAGCCCGTTTGTTGTTGCGGGAAACCCCGTTTGCATCCCTCAGGCAGTATTCAAATCAGCCAACAGCCTACTATGTTGGTAGTGCTTGCGTGGATCCCTTCTCCTTCTCGTGGCGAAACACGTCGTGCAAAGCCTAACCCCCCGATCCTACAGGCAGCGCTTTGCCACAGCCATGCCCACTTCCCATTCATTGGATTCATTGGACCAAAACACAGGGGTGACTGCCCTGAGATGTAGTTTGTAGTTTCACATCATGGGCGGTGTCCGGTTAAACGATGCAAACTTGGCCAAGGCGGACAAGCCAACGGCTTCCAGTTTAAACTTCCTATGCTGATGACAGTGATGTGGACTGGATTCCAGCCCCAGACTGCTGGAACCCGAGTAACCTGACTGAACCTTCATGTCAGCTGGGCGGCTAGCTGAACCGGCCTAACTTGTTGGCACCGGGCGAAGCGTTTCCCGAAACCCGAGACGACCCATTTTGAGGCCCAGCTGCGGGGTCCAGGTTTCTGCTGGCCACGATGTTCGCCTTGTTCTGCAAGATCTGGGCAGCTCGCCAATAATGAGGGATGCTGCACGCATGAGAGCCTACAACCCCAGACTGATGAATATGGGTTTAGCAACTTGGCAAAGCAATGTCTTCACATATCTTTTCTTAGGTGCACCAGGATGCCCCGTTGGTTCCGCGGTACTTAGGCCGAGTTTGAAAGCCGTGCACGTGACAATTCCGGCCATGCAACACGAACTCCTCGGGCATGACCACCCTCTCAGCTGAATATGATTCAAACGGCAACATGTCAGTTCTGTGGTGCCAATGGTGCCAAGAGAACGACAGAATGTCAAAAGCTAGAAGATTGAACTTGTTTGAAAGCTACCCTTGGCAGGGCCAAGGCACAGCTGAAGAGTCTCTGCAAAGCAATCAAAACAGTGCCCGGGCAGGGCACTTGGGCTGGAAACCTTTGTGGGGAGGATAGGGGGCGCTTAGAAGCAGGGCGCAGGTACTACCAAGGTGGGACAATCTGGTGGTAGTGTTGAAACCACAGGTGGCAATCACATGCTGCAGCTTGCCCCGGGCATCCGTTATACACGGACCGCGGGTTTTGGATCGCTACAAACATCGGCCCTTGTCCAGCTGCATATGCAACCGCCGGCGTGGCCGCATCTCGCAGACCCATCCTTAGGCTAGGCTGACCAAGTACCGCGCAGTAAAAGTCGGAGTCACTACGTTTTGTTCACGGGTAGTTGGGAAGTAACCAACACAGACATTGCAATTGCGCAATCTTGCCTTTGTCTCCCATGTGAGACTGGGGGTCGGGAACGCGCAAAGATGCGTAAAGGATGGGAAGACTGAAGTGACAACAACTCGGGCCCGAAGCGGAGAACACAATTAGAACTTTCTCCTGTGGATTCGTTGGCTGGGGATGGACAATCTGTATTGGTTCATGTGGAAGCCAATGGGCTCAAAAGCTGCTGTGGGCAAGAAAGGGCTAAAACCTCAATTTGGCATAGAACCCAACCCAGGAAGCACTGGCTTTTCCAGTTGCAGGAGCTTGATGTGCCAAACGACTTGGAGGTGGGCCCCAGCTATTGTCAAAGCTCGCAAATGGCTTCGGGTAAAATAGCGGGGGGCCTCTATTGGAATGATCTGAAGCCTCCCGGGCATGGGATACCTGCCCATCCTCATGAAACTCCATCTGGGCCCACAGATCTGCTTCGTCTGCGGCATAGCTAAGCGACGACAACACACGCATGCTGAGACGCATGAGCCGAATCGGAAGCTAATGAGCCCATGCGGCCAGAATGCTGCTTTGCTTCACACGGGGGAAGGTCGCTCGTCCTCACTGTCACCCCCTCAGTGGTGGGTTGAAGGGAAACAGTCCCATTTTCACTGACTTTGATAACCTCCAGAAACAGTCAAAATAATGACCCCTGAGAATCGGAAGCTGAGCCAAGCATCCAGGGCGTCCATCGCCTGAAAGCCCCGCAAAGGTTGCTGGGGCCCAAGAGCACCAGGCAGAGGCAGATCTTCAACATCTCCCCCGCCACCACCAAGGTATCTGCGCATGTGCCGAGTGCTTTCCAAGGCTTGTGAGGGGGGGGGGGGGGAATTGTTGGGGGGCAGGTAACAAAACAACCTTGAAAGGGTCGTCACACCCACATTTGAACTCATCCCAACGGCACACACACACACAGCCTGGGCCACAAACAAGTCTCCTTCAATTTAACGGAGCTACTTCAGATCGGCAATACCGCGGTGGATATTCAGTGTCTGTTCACTCTCTGTTGGGTAAATTCGTAAGTTGTGCAATGTATCCCCCTTTCTGATCTGATCCGAGTGGATCGAAATGAACAGTCCTGCTAGCCAATTCGGCTACAGGCTGCCACTGCATACCTCAGGCCAACACTACCTGTCAAGCTACAGATTCTGAGCAACTGGAAAGAGTGCAGCTCTGCACATTGCCAACCAGCCGTGGCTTGTATGCAAACCACCTGTCAACTTGGAAAAGTGGAGCGTGCCCGTTACACACACTGCATCACAATGGGTCTATTAACTTAGAACCCGAATCCCTCGGAAGTGTCGGGATGACCCGCTGTCTTGTGTGGAACGACCAACACACAAAAAAGAGAGAGAGAGAGAGAGAAAGAGAGTGGCATGACGTTTCTTCCTTTTTTTGGAGGGAGCAGCTGAACTGCTGCAAACCATGTTGTCTGCATGGCGCGCGGGCAAGATGCCCACTCTGCCTGTGCTAAGATCGCCGGCAAAGCTCCTGCAGAACGACCGGGAAACATGTAGGGGCCTCCGGATTTTCTAGAGATCAGCCTCTTCATACTTATCATTGTCAAAGCCCGTTGCATCTGGACTTCCCACATACCGGATCGTTGAAAGCACAGTGCCAGGCCATCAAGAAGGGAAGTCCCATGCCCGTACTTTGAAGCAGGCAACACACAACTGCAACGTGGGCCATCCTTTGGTATGCTGTGCGGCCACAGCATCACCAAAGAGTGCCCAAATCAGCCGAGAATGAAGACGCTGATTGTACCGCCAGCTCAAACCAATGAAAGGCTCATGAAATTCAAACACCGCCCCAGCTTCTTGACCACTCTGCGGACAAGGGGTGCTGGGCACTCATAAACCTAAAGGACCTAGGAAAAGCCGGGAACTTGTTGGATCCCCGGCGGTGTGGTGAAGCTACCATCCTGTGCAAGTGCTTTTCACCCCCCGTGCGGAAGAAATCTCCCGAATTGGACGGTTCAGATTTAGGTTTCTAGGCTGCACTTGCAACCCGGGACCAAACATGGTACGGAGGACGGACAGCTCCTTGTCAGGAAGGGCTGTGCTGCATATTGCAGTGCCAGCAGGCTGCACATGACCCACGCCATTGCGCGCGCGTGATCGCGTGCGCCTCGCGGCCCGTCGCCCGCTATGGACGGACCCCTGAGCCGACCGGCGGAGACTCTTTTTTCATGCGGGCGGCACTTGGAGGATGCCCAGGGCTAGCCGCAGCCATATTGAGACAGCACCTGGGTGCAGTTCAAACCTGAAATACGGGACTATGAAAGAAACCTTCTTCAGTGAGGGCGCTAGCATTGCCCACCGTGCTTCGCTGATTGCCTCCTCTGAGCATCACAGTTTGTTTGACAGTAGGTCTCATGCAGCTCACGAGGAGGGAGGGGGGGGGTTTCACTTGGCCTCCTTCAAGCAAGGCATGCCAACAAACTGCCCCCCCACCCCCCACAACACGACCATTTCCATCCAGCAATCAGCAAACGCAAGGAGGGGTGTTGAACAATCTCTGAAAAATCTGCGATCGCGTGCTCACATAATCTGACCAGGGCCACTGGCTCTTGTCGCCCAGCAATGCTTGTCCTGGCTCGTACTTTGGGCAGGGGCTGCTGATCGAATCAAAACAGACTTGGAGCTCAGACCCTTGGTCAACTCAGCATGCCTCGTCATCACATCGATTCATGCAACATAGGGCCGACCTCCTGTTGAAAGATCCCTGGGTCTTGCAAGGCAGACCTGCCCAAGTGCCTCATTTCTTGCCTGGTTAAAACTAGCACCGGCTCAACCATCAACCAATGTCTTCTGAGGCCTTCGGAAGGTCAGACCGAAGGACTCCTTCCAGCTGCCGGTCCTGGGGTGCAATCCCATGCCCCGCTCAAGCGACCCTCACAACAAACACACCCCGACCAGGGCTGAACCCACACAAGGCTTGGTGCAGATTGGAGGTGATATTCCTATGGCCTGCACTCAAAAAGGATACTTCTGGCACAGAAGTCCCACTGGACAATGTACAAACAGTTGGCGGCTTCTTCTTCTTCTCCCATCTTGTCCGCCCATCCCACGCCTGCTGCTGCTGGTCTTGCCGGTTGTTTCTTCAGAGGCACCCACGTCCAGCACGCTGCCTGAGTTGCGTGGGCCCCCAGTCAGCGCCTCTGTGGCATGCACCAAGGACCGAAGGCGTGTTGGGCGACGCGCTGGGTGTGCGTGCGCGTGCGCCTGTGCGTGTGTTTGTGTAATTATGTGGGCGAGGGGCTGCGCCCTGCTGTGCGTCCGTTGTCAGTCTGTGCATCTCTGCATGCGTGTTGTCCATGTGTATCTGTGGTGTGTTTGTGTGTGTGTGTGTGTCTGTGTGTGTGTGCGTGTGCTTTTCCTGTGTCCTGGCAAAACTGAGTAAGTCATTCATGAGATGTATGCAGACAACTAAGCAGCCCAAATCAAGTGAGACATGCAGAGTGCCCAGATGGGGGCGTCGTTCCAAAGAACCCACGAGTCGGGCTCGCAAAGTCGACTCGTTGAGAGGCTCCCAAATTTAAGCATAAAGAGCCACACGAAGCTTGGACAGAATGCAAAGCTTCGTGTGAGTAAGGGGTACAGGGGTACGGTTCATGACGAGGCTGAGGATCCAAGTCCGATTTGGTGGTGCAATGGTACAAACAACAGCTTCTGAGGAAACACTAAACAAATGGGCCTAGTGTGTTGCTCTTGGGGCCTGGGCAAATTGAGTCAATTGCAGCAAGAGTGGTTGGCCCATGCGTGCCTTTGTTCGGGGTCTACAATGAGACACGTTTGGTGACGTTCTTGGGGGGCTTTGGAATGGGCGTGCTTGGGCATCCCAGCACGCCGGAATCTGGACTGCAGCCGCTCAGAAACAAGTGACAACCGCGGCAGCCGCTCAGAAACAAGTGACAACCGCGACTGGAGGCCCTTCCTGTCCTTCCCTAATAACCTTTCATCGCATTGGAGTGTCTACACACGCAGTTGAGCACAGAATCCGCTGCCCCACTGAGCATAGAGCATGCCACATAGACACTCTTGTGGTCGGTCTGGCGGGTCACACCACACGAACGACTGAAGCGTGCGAAGCAAAGCACAAACTATGGGTTGGCTACTTTTGCAACAAATCAACTGCAATTAAGCGCGAAAGCCTCGCACATATTGTGGACAAAAAGGAAAACTACAATTGGGCAGAAGCACTTGATGCCGAATGTAATAATAGATCGAAATGATGTCATTCCCTAGTGGTAGTGACGAGTTTCTGACAATAACATAAGCTTTGGTGCGCTTGCAAAAAGAAAGCCATTTAGAGACCCCTAGGTGTTGTTTAACAAGCAAACTGCACAACCAGCCAGGAACCCACCCCAAGGTGGCAAGGAAAATCAGATCGCGCCTTGGGCAGGCCGCGCGCATTGTGTACCAATACCTGAGCATCATACAACACGGCCTCATGCACCCTGCACAAACCAAGCCTTGACCCCGAATCTACCTCGAAGACGCACCCCAACCACTCCATCGATTGGTAGGAAAGCACCTATCTCGCTGTATTTCAGACACAGCAGGGCAGGCCCGCACCTACCTATGCATGCTATTATGGATGTCTGCGCGATTAAGAAGCACAAAATGTGTCCAATTAGCAGTGGAGGCTATACTTTAAAGGCACAAAGTCATTGTCAGCCACTACATGCCTATCATGATGCCAAGAGTTCACCAAGCTTCGTTGACGGCTCCGTGGCCTGTTGGACCACTTCAAGGGAGGCCAGAATTTCCTGCTGACCTGGCAGTTGAACATAGCTGTCATGTATGTTCAACGTATCATTCGGACAATCATTTTCACAGAAACAATAAGCCGTGCACTTGCAGCAAACGGTGCACTTATGGTGGCATCGTAGTATGCCGTGATTAACCACCAAAGTAATGCAACCCAGCTTGGCCCGCTGGCACGCAAGAAGAGCGCCGCGCTCTCGGCGCGCCGTGCCTTCGAGGGCGGAAGTCAAGTCTGAGCCATGGCACACTGAAAGCTCTTTGAGACCAAGTGGCTCAACTTTGTGGACACACTATCAGAGAGCAGGAGCCACTTTATCCCCTCCCATTTGCGCAATAGATTCCAACCATCAGAGTGCACTGCTTGGACTCCTGGGGCGGTCGTCAGACCGCCCAAGCCCTTGCCTTCTGATTGTGGGCGTGGAACGCCTCGCAATGCAAGCGATCCGGACAGAGACGACGACACATGGCCCGGATATACAAAATAGCCTCCAACACTTACGCTCAAGAAACAGGGACATAACATGGAATGCAAATGTACACTCGCCGAAGCTTCAACTGCGCAGGACAAACCTCCCATGTTCGGTGTCAATGCAATACATGATCCTTCCAGGGTCCTTTGCAAAGTGAACGGACATGCCATGGCATGGCCCTCAAAGAATGGCGAGATTGTGAAAGGCTTCCAATTCCAGCCACCAAGGAGTTGCTTCATGAAGCCTCTAATTATGCATGGTTCTTTTCCTCCAGACTCAAGGCAGCTGGCTTCCTGGCAAACAAAGCTGGCCTGGTTTAACAAACAAAAAAGTGAAGTACTTCAGCTTCGAATGTATTGGCTAAGCAAGCTAACAAATCAGCGATTTGTGTGTGTGTCATCCCCGCCAAACTTGGACGATCTGCTCAAGCACTGTCCGAGATTACCCATTCAAGCATCCAGAGCCTTGTGCACACACACACACGCTCCCCTTGAAAGATAAACATGGGGACCCCAACAAAAGCGGAGATTCCAGCAACAATTGCCACATTAATTAACATTATATTGGATGGTTCCAAACCAAATGGTGCAAACCTGCAGCCCATCGACTGCGCGCGGAGATTCCAAACGGCTCCACCCAAAAAATCGGTGCAAACCTCCAGGCCGCTGACAGCGCGTAGCTCCCAAAACGGGACCCCGTGCCATGCTGCAGACTCCAGGCTTCTCCGCCGCCCAGGCCTGGCCGGCGTGGGTTGGCTTTGAGGGTTACCGTTTTCAGGTGGGTTCGCAGAATGAAGAAAAGCCAAAGCATGTGTAGTTTTGGTGTGTTTTTTTGGGAGGGGGATGGGGGGGAGGGTTTATTTTGACCCATCTGCATATGTGACCCCAATGTTTCTTCAACAATTTGCCCCAAAGCCTGAACTAAGACTTGGATGCTGTAGTACAGGGCCTTCATCGTGGTGGGCTCGGTTTGCCCCCAAACTGGTAAGATTGCCATTAACAAAATGCAAATTGTATGTGACATTCTCAACCTCCTTTTGTGGGCCATGGTCTTCGGTCACTGTTAGTATGCATGTGGGCGCTTTGGCCCGGTCGAGTCAAATCAAGAGGTGAGAAAAACTACCCCGACACCTTCTCAAGTAATGCATGACACCTTCTCAAGTAATACATGAGGCTGGTTCAATACATCGTCACATTGTCGAATAGATTCCAGATACATAGTCTCCCTTAGAAGGAAGCTGGGCCATGAACAGTTGTCTAACATCCGCAAGGGGTCCATGACATCCCTACTCATCCCAAATACAATTGCATGTCGACATAATAATGAACGCCTTACCACAAGAGGCCGCTGCAGACAAACCCGATTGGGGCCTAATCAGTAATCATCAACAAACAAAGCCCCGGCAATATTGTCTGCTGCTTGTTGTCAAGCTGGCCCTACAGAAGTGGAGACAGTTTCATACCAAAGCAGATCTACAGGGCTCTAACGCTTTGCTGTGTCCATACGGTTGGCAGATTTCTCCAACTACGTTCCATTCGCGGCAGAGTTCAACTGGAGCTGCTGGCCAAAATGGAAAGAAGCAACCAGAAGGATCAGTGTATAAAGCCGGCTGCGCAAGCATCTAAGCTATGAAACGGCGACAACATCGTACCCTCAATGGCCAAGACAGCAACTTTAGAGAAAATTTGTGCAGCTGCTGCAGAGGCTTCTGCTTGTGCCTCTTTGTTTTAAAGCGGCCACCCCTTTCAGGAAGGACCTCCAAACCCAGCCTCTGTGCCCAAAACAGGCGGAGCGGCAACATCCTCGGCGCGATCTCAGAGTTTTCCTTTGTAAGAAGCGAACTGTACGAGCTGCATTTGTGGGAT